AAAAACAACAGATTGGGTAGTTAGATTTAGTAATTAGATTCCTTAATCAGTTAGAAATTATTGTCTACATAGGTACTGTAATTGTGAGCAAGGTTGTACAAAAAGAAAGTTCAAAAGGAATGAAAATTTACTTTTCACAAAACAAAAAAATTCTTTTGTTAGGCCTATAACTAATTATATTAATATAAATTTAATCAAGCTAGATGAAGATTGGGGAAAAAAAAACTATTAAGTTACATTAGATGATAGGCATGCCAACCGAATCCCTATAATGGATGGATAAATGTATAAATTTATGTAAAACATCCAAAATGATAAGTGTAACTTACTTTAGAAATGTTCCAATTTAAACTAGACCAAATTTAGGCAAAGATTATGACTCTCCAACATCATATCATAATTTAGAAATGTGTCACTAATGCCTTCTTTGGCTTTTCTGATGATGTTGTTTTAGTGGTCATTTTTATTTTTTTGGGAAAGAAAACAACTATAATCTACAAACTAGATGCTTTGATAGTAATCTCGTAGATGAAGCAAATTTCGTTAATGCAACCATCAAACAAGAAAGTACGAAGATAATTTGTCTATCCCGTGAAACTCAAAAGAGTGCGGAAAATTCACAGTAAGACGATCGTTTATCTAAGGATTTCTATCTCTTAACTCAAACCAAGAAAAGAACACATTATCTATGAAAGATTCGAATTAAACAACAACCCACACTAAGAATAGTAAGGACACCATTTAATGTACTCGATCAGTCATCATTCAAGAGACTCAAGAAAGGTAGGAGCATACAATGCTCAACTATTAAGGAATACTATTGATTAGTAATCTCCATAACCAACAAAGATATGCAACACATACACTATCTCAAAATGCTTATGCCAAAGCACAACTCATCCAACAAAAGTAGGACAAACCCCACAATGGAACTCATGAACACACACATCATGAACTCGAAAACCAAGCCAAAAGAAAGACTCATCAATCGAACTACTAAAAGTAGTATGAAAATAAGAAGTTTAGTTCTAAAACAATTCTATCAAGAAGCATACTTGAAAAAGAACGGTTTCTGTAAGATCAAAAGATCCAAGACAAGATGAAAACCCTCTTGGTTAAATCATACTTGACACGAAAAATAGACACACCATTTAACAAAAATTCCTCACAGGAAAAACTCTCATTAGAGGCAACAAAAATGACCACTCAAGGGTGCTTTAATTTTCGGCCATCCCCCCCTATTTATAGGCTATGAATTTCGGCCAAGCACCAAAAAAAGAAGACCAACTAGGACTCTCTAATCTTATCTTACGCAGGAGTAGAGTTAGAAGAGTATTTGATCTCTTTGACTCTATCTAAAATCTAGGAAACCTTATCCAAATGGCTTATCCTCAAATAGGATAATAGTTAAAAGGAATCTAAGACTCCTAATCAAAACACTCTAGTTTAATTCAGTCCACATGACTTATTTAACTAGATAAAATTCGAAAATTAAACTCCTAGAATTAGACAAACTCTAATATCGAAAATCAGCTCTAAATATTGAAGTAAAATGTCTTGAACGCCCTTCCAAAAGTGGAATATTGGTATTGCGCCCCTCAAGTTGTAGAAAACTCTAATTTTACTCCAAAACTTGTAGAATTCTCTTTATTGACTCCAAAAGATTGGAAAAACACTTGAAACAATTGAGATAATTTGCAGCCTATCCAATTGTGTAGCAATGGACTCAATCTTGAATACTTTGATCAAATCATTCAAGAACCTAAATGATTCTTCTCTCTAGCTTGATCAATGATCTTCATGGAGCACCTAGAGTCAAACTCCTTTGATACTCTTGAGCACTTATTTCCATGAGTGAATCATCTCCTTTGGTTTGAACTCCAAAGTTAATGACATTTTCATCATCTTGATCATAGCTCTCTTGAACTAACTCCCTATCACATAGGTAGTCAAGATCCATCCTTTCTTCCTTGATTGGCCTGCAAAGTAAACTTGGTATTCCAAAACTAGAATGAAGGACTAGCTCATTCCCCTCACTAGGAGAATCACCATGGAAGGCTATATGATTCTCATCATTTGCCCGGGCAATTCCTCAAGCAACAAAATTGAAGGCTAAAAGAACAACTCAAGCAACAAAATTAATATAATTTATTATATATAATATTCCCACCATAGGCGAACACCGATATACATTGAAGCGAGAGGAAATGTACCACTTCTGAAAATGAAACATTTATACGCGATTCTTCAAATTAATGAAAAAGTTAAATATTGTTGTTTTGAGCCAATAAATAAAACAAATTGTTGTTCTGATATTGTAAAATCTAAATTAAACACAGAGTAAAGCTAATATTCTTTTAACACTCAAAATGCAGCGTAAACAATGCCAGCAATCCTAGGCCAAAGATCAGAAAACTTCTTTCCGATAGAACCAGTGATTGCAGAACCTCTCATTCCCTTAGGATTAAGAATCACTGAACATCATCTTCGATGAACATGTAGACTCCCATCTTTCGGTGCCATTACCTCAAGCATGACCTTCTCCAGAGATCGGGCTACTCATCTTGGTGGTGGCAACAACCATGTCAGTGTCTCAAGCGGAAGGGAGCCTGTTGAATCTGCCATTGATTCCTTTCACGAAAATGATGTAGAGGTTATGTGCCTCGATGTTGTTGTCACAACTCAACATTGTGCTCACTGGAAGACCGAACAGCATTATTAACTTCTTACCCGCTCCCTGTTCTCGCTTATACATTTTTGTTGTATTGCCATAGAGTTTAATGAAGGAAACACCTCTATTATTTGATGACCAGTGTATTTCTTTCTCTTCATTCCTGTCTATTTTCAAAGCATCAAAATCAGCAACATGTTAATCCATCATATTTTTCCACCTGCATATTAGTCCCATTTTGGCTAACGAAATGAAATTGTCTTGAAAATTTGTAAGCAAAGTGAGAAACCCAAGTACAAAATAAAACTCATTTCTTAGGAGAAGTGAGTTTAAAAGTTTTTAGCAAAAAATTAAAACTCATTTCTTATGAACAATGAGTTTAAAACTCATTACTTCAATACCATTTATTAAACAAACTACACAAAAGAATTTTAGTCAAATCATACACCTGTACAATTTTCCAATGAAAACAACAAAACTTTCTTGTTCAGTCACACTAATCAAAAGCCATGTAACCTTGATTAGTGAAATAGGATGTTATTTTCATAGCCATTAGTTAAAGTCTGCAGCCATCCCTCAGCTGTGATCCTAGAAAATACAAAAGACAATAAGGCTGCAAATATGATGAGTATCAAAAGTTATTAGCTATTAACATAAGATCAAATTGAATAGATAGAGAAGATGATCAGAGATGCAAATCGATCACCCGATTAGTGAAAGTCTGAAACTCAAATAAAAAATCGTTTTTAAGTAATAAACAACCAGCCTATTGCCATTAATATATTAAAGAAGAAAAACCAATCAACTGAGCCAACCAAATGCAAAATTCAGAAATTAAAAGATGATTAGAACGGTTACCTAAAACTTAAGACTTCATATAAAACTTATCAGTCCCTTGATTAGTGAAAGTGATGAACAACCAGCATGTTGTCCTCAATATACTGAATAAGAATAAAAAGCAGTACATCATCGTCCGACAACAAGAAACCAAAAAGTTTAACAATTTCTACTTGTTCTCCACTCCCTTATCAAATTAGATTTGATTACTTTCTCAACGTACCAAAACTCTACAAATTGTTGCATTCCTTTTTTTGTTTGAACAAAAAGCAGCACCAAAAAATTTTCTTCAACACAAAATAAAATACAGAAAGAATTCTGAGACTGACAATTTAATTTCAACAGGCAGAAATGGGTGTTAAAATCTCACAATTCTAGATTCATTATCCACCAGATCCTAGAAAATACAAAAGACAATAAGAAGGAAAATATGATCAGTATCAAAAGTTATTAGCTATTAACATAAGATCAAACTTGAATAGATAGATAAGAAGACCAGAGAAGCAAATCGATCACCCGATTAGTGAAAGTTTAAAACTCAGATAAAAAATCGTTCCAAGTAATAATAAACAACCAGCCTATTATCTTTAATGTATTGAAGAAGGAAACCGATTAACCGAGTCACCCAAATGCAAAATTCAGAGATAAAAAGATTAGAACCGTTGGGTATAAAGTTATCTTTAATATCCAAAGTTATCTTTAATATATTGGTAAAATTTCTAATTGGAGATATCCAATTTATAAATCAAATCATCTATACATCCAATCCACCTCCACATTGTGAACCCTTGATAGTAAAGTAAATTGATGGATGATTAGATTCGCCTGGGTAGAAATGCTAAGGATGGCAAAATAGCAAACATGAGAGTCACTATTCAACACTATCGAAATCAAGTTTTATACACAGTATACTCCATTGATGAAGAAACTTACGCAATTCTTAGACGTGGCTATCTCTTCCTGCTTTGAGAAACTCCAAGAGGGCCTCTACCTCTTCCACTCCTGATTGGGCAATGAAGTTGTCTCCATCATCTTTCGTCAGCTTTTAATTCCAAGGCTACCAATTATCAAAAAAATAAATAAATAAATAAATAAATAAAAATTAAAAAAATCATACTGACCTTTTATCTTTCACGACAGGGAACTGGAATCGGGGCAAAATAAATTGCTTCGGATTTTCTTGTTGCATAAACGAAACAAAACTACTAAATGAAACTGGATTAAATCATAAGTCTAAACAAAATAGTAGAACAATCCAAATAAATAAAATAAATTCAAGAGAAATAAATAAAAAATAAACAAAATAAAATCACCTGCACAATATGAGGCTTGATCGGAGCCGAAGACAGTGATGGATTTGGAGGAAATTTCATTGGCTCGGACTAAAGCAATAAAGTAAATAACATGGGAGATACGTGAAAGGTTCTAGCCGGATTTGCAAAGAGAATTGGTCAACCGTCATCATGAATTTGGAATATGCAGCCCATCATCGTCAATTATTATTTCTTCCTTGTGACCTCGATGTTCTGATTACAGCTAACGCCGTTTCCTCACGGTCGGTGATCAGAACTCCCAAAATTACCAACAGACCTGAACAAAGAACACCAAAACAAATCTGAATCTGTGACTTCAGGTCATCGTCGACTTTATTTGGCAGGCTTGGCATCGACTACCGAATATAGCCATTAAATCGACGAAAGTGATTCTTGCAACTGACCTTGCTCTGACTGAGACAAACTCTGAAAAGATCTACTTGACACCACTCGCTGATCAAACTCATTGTTTTGCACCATCTGTCTCTTAAACTGTAACATCTGCCCTGGGAACTCATTAAATGGTATCGTCTTCTGATCAAACGGCATCACCTGCTCATGGAACGCTTCTGACTGTTGCTTAAAGTGATGGGAATGTATCACTTGTTGCTGACCATGTTGATCTTGTTTTGATGATGACTGCCACTCCTTGGCTTGTGTGTGCTCCATTGGTAATTGCCTTTCTATTAACCTCGATATAAAGTGAACTTCCTGATCCAACGATGGCTCTTGTAACTGCTATAATTGCTCCATCTGCACCGATAGCTGGTTTTGTGCTGATAATGGTAGATTAGAACCCTGGATATTCGGCAAAGGCAACTCCACCAATTCTTGCAATTGTGTCGCTTCATGTTGAAGTTGTTGATCCATCAACCGTGCGATCGGTTGATAACATACTAAGGATGATTGGTTTCCCACTGTAGATTGTTGCACTTGCTGACATTGTAACGATGGTTGTTGCAACTTTATCATTGATTGCTCAACTTGCAGAGACACTCTTGATGACGATTGCAACTCTTCGAGTGACGCCCATAATTGCCACATCTATTCAAACTCTACCAATGATTGTTGTTGCATTTGATTGATTTGTGTCACCGATTGTTGCTCTTGTTGAGATTGTACCAGCGGTTGTTGACTCGGTAGTATAGATGGACTGGCTTGCTCGGATTGCACTAGAGATGGTTGAATCTGCTGAAGTAGCACTAATGGTTGTTGGGCCTGCAACAATGACTGTAACGGCATCTCATTCAACTACTTTGCTATCTGATCGGTCGGTCGAGACTCTGCTGATGATGACTGTGACTGCTCTAAAGACGAAGACCATGTTGGTGATGACTGAGTCGGCGCCAATGACAAGTGAACCTGTTGAGATTCTAGCGACAATGATTCAAATGGTTGAGTATGTTCCCGCAATCGGTTTAGACTCACCTCTGCGGATTCTATCTATTGCTGAAGTTGCAACTGCGTCTGAGACTGGACTGACTCTAAAATCTCATGAACCGATTGAGTATCCATCGGTAATGAATAAAATGGTCGGATCTCTATTGATGATTGCTGTTGAACTGATTCTAGACATTGTGTCAGCTGTTGGGACTGTAATGGCATAATCGATTAAACAATTTATTGGGGTTGCTTCGATTGTGACCAAACCTGTCGGATCAGTCCGGATGGCAACTGATTATCCTAATACTCCATCGGCAACAAATATTGCTGATGGACATGTGCCGATGTGGATGCTGTTTGTCGATGTTGTAACTGCGTCTATTGGAACTGCTCTGTTGCTGAATCATTATTCTTATACTGAATCAGTTGTAAGCAAACCTGCTGGACTAATGTCGATGATTGCTGAATCTGTGAAGACTCTATTGGCGGCTGATGGGACTACGTCGATTCCAACTGCACAAATTGTGTTGTCCACTGATCGGCTTGCTGAAACTCTACTGGTCGTGAACAGGATTGCTGAATATGCATCGGTGATAGCTGACTCTGTTGTGATTCCAACAACAGCTGTTGAAAGGTCACCGTCCGCAGCTGAAACTGTTGGGGCTCATGATCAAAAGCAGTAGATTGTTGTCCACCATCTTTGAATAGAACTTGTGCATTGCTCTGAACACCATCGAGTCAATCATAACAACCGAATTGATACAACCAGTTGCTAAAACTGGCTTGCCCCCGAGACTTGAAGGTTTTTGCATTGCCGGACTTTGATCTCGTTTATTGGTGCTGCCGGGTTGCCGATCTACGTCATATTGATCACCTGATTGGATAAAATAGCATACAGCTCTGTAATCGGTTGCTTGAGAGTTGTAATTGGCATAAGCATTCAGAATCGGTGCCCTAACTAGATTTGCATCTTTCTGGTGATCAGCACTATTCTGGCACCAACTGTAGCCATGGCATCAATCTGCTGCTCCAATTGTTGATCAGCGACATACATAACCCTAGAGCAAGGCTGTGCCGATGCAAGCTATTGGAAAACCTGCCCACCAAGTGGTGATGGGTTAAATTGTATATGGGGTTGTGTGGATAGAGGTTGTTGAGATATTTGCCCGCTAAGTGGTGATGAACTATATTGGATGTTGGGGGATGTGTATGTAAGGCTAGAATTTTCAGGCGACTGACTACATGGAATAAGGGTATAGACCGGACCTTCAGGAGTGTCAAAGGCATAATATTGGGTGTTTAAAATACGCCATGACAAGGGAAAAGGAAAAGAATCTTTTTTGGATTTTTATGACAAAGAGAACTTCGTGGTATGAAGACAAACTTCCACGATTTATAAATCAAACTAAAGCTTGTCTCACTGGGCGTGACAAATTATGTTTGCGTGTAAATTGTGCACCCGAAATTGTGGAAAAAAAGGGAAACAAGAATCACCAAAAACACAATTAAATCAGACGATTGTGGTTGAGTTCAAACCGGCCTCAGACCCGGATCGAGAACTTAGGGTTATTGGCTTTAGTTTGAGAAAGATAGGTAGAGACTTAGAGAAAATGGGAAAAGCCGAAGAGACGGCGTTTGACTCATAAAGTGGAAAATCCTAGCGTCGTTAAGTTATAGATGGTGCCGATGACGCGCTATTACAAAGATATTAGCGCCGACTAGATCTTGTCGATGACACGCGATGACACAGAAGATAGAGACAGGACGGACGTGCAGAGGGTAGTCCGGCATATATAAGTGTTAGAACACCTATTACAGCATAACCGAATTCGTTGGAGAAGAAAACGGTGAACACCTACCTAATTCTATGTAGGAGAAAAAGGCAAACAACTCTATTGCTATGCAAGCATGATAGAACGTGATGAACAACCATGGGGAAGGTAAAAACATGATAAACAGTAAAAGAAATAATAAAAGACAATGAAAACCAGTTGTATGGTTGATCGGTGATAATTTTCTCTTCATGGCTGCCTCTATTTATAGTGCTTGGACGATACCCTTGCTGCCCTGTTATTTCTTGGAGAAAAGGTAGCTTATTATGGTCAATTTTCTTGAAAATAAGATACTATTCCCGCAGCAGTCTCCCAATCGGTTGATGACTCTTCTCACAATCAGGTCTTAATTTGGTAATAGAATTCTTTCTCAAATATATCTCTTTAATTACTGATAATTTTTCTTATAAAAAGAGAAAGAAATAAGGAAGAATCTTCCTTAATTGCCAATTAATCACGCAGCCGATTTTGGAACAATTCTATTCCTACTTGGCTTCTACTTTCCTTCTCCAATTCTGAAATTGTTCACACTCAACCAGCCCATAGTGTTTCCAAACGTACCATGCCCTTTTTTGGATTATTTTAGGACCTTAAAATCTCAGCAATCTTCATATAAATCTACCAAAACTCCTGGGCCATGACTCAAGTCTCTCATCGGCCCGATTTGCTAAAAACTGGCCGAACAAAGTTACAATTCAATTATAAGTAGTGGCACTCTAAATTTTTGAAAAAAATATACTGTTTATTTCTACTTACTAATCATGCATCTGTTGGGAATTTATCCAGAGGAGAAAACCCGACATGGAGGCCAATAAGTAAGATAAGACCCATCTGAACTCAAAAACTCAAGCTAATGGGTTCTGAGTCCACCTTACTTATTAACTGATTCACATGTTATCATGCCTCCGATGTGGGATTCACAATTCTTGCCACATGACCCTCAACATTCTCTCCCGTCATGTGCAATCTCCGCATCGGGCTTCCAAATTATCTTAACAAGCCCAAATCTGTACTCCACCTGAGTAATTGGACTGCCCATCCCTACGTTTCCGCTCGTAGTGGGCCTTTGACTGCTTGGGTTCAGTCAAATCAATCGAAATAATTTGGGCTAAATCACCCACCCAACTGGCCCAACCTAGGCTCTGATACCACTGTTGGAGATTTATCTGGAGGAGAACACCCGACATGAAGCCCAATAAGTAAGATAAAACCCATCTGAACTCAAAAGCTCAAGTTAAAGGGTTCTGAGTTCACCTTACTTATTAACTGATTCACATGCTATCATGCCTCCGATGTTGGATTCACAATTCTTGCCACATGACCCTCAACAGCATCTATTTCGAAAATTTTTGAATAACATAAATACAGTATATACAAAAAATTTAATTAGCTGTGTTCGTAAATTTGGCACCCCATTTGTAAAAAATCCTTGCTCCCCCCATCATTTTTCGATTATTTAGTTGCCAAAATAATAATAAAAAATTTCTAGTACAGAATTATTGCTTCCAAAAAAGGAAAGGGCAAGAAAATTTGCATCGTTTGTCTGGGCCAGAAGCACTTCATCTTCATGGTTCATAGTTCATACGTAGTACTTTGGTATTCTTTGTCCAATCTTTTTCGTCGTTGCAATTTAGTTACACTGACTAGCTAGCTAGTCCATATATATACGATGTGGTTAAACTTAAATCATCCGGTCATTTCTTGTGAATGTATATTTTTTAAAATAGGAGATTAATCATTTTTCAAACATATTATAAAAACACCTAATCTATTATATATGGGTGGAGTTTATGGAGAAATAAATAATATTATTAAGAAAGATTTTTCGCGTGCACGTCTCGATTTAATACTTCGAAGGCCTCCTGACAGGTGTAAGAAGATTAATCGCTAGTTCGCATCTGTGCTCGTTTCACTTTTTCCGGCATTATTTTGCGTTTTGAATGCGTAAGGAAGGAATTTAATTTTGATTCCAATATCAAATTTAACGATAGCAAGTCAGGGATTTTCGATGGGAAGAAAAATAAAGAGTGAAGAGACGAAATTCTCTTTGTCCCAAGGCATGGAAGTCAATTTTGGCTGCTCGGAAAATTAAAAATATTCTAAACCTAATTGTCTTTTTTTTTTTTTTTTCCTGATGGCATGTAATTATATACATAATAATCACTCACTATTATTGACGAAAAAACTCTACAAATAAAAAACATTTTGTTAATGAATTTCACAATAATCATTGATATAAATATAAATATAATCATTGATATAAATATCCATCCTTAATTAAAATATCAATAATCGAGATGTATGGAAAAGTTTCACCCGACTCTCAAGCCTGTCTGGAATCCACAACTTATTGTGCATCATGTGGCCTCTTTTTCCCCTTAACCAATTCATCATAACGGGGTACTTTTCCAGCCCAATGCACTTATTGTTGAGTTTTCCGACTGAACTCGGAATCGGAACCAATCTCAAATCATCGTATTTTAATTAAAAGAGAAGAAGGAGATAGAGCTTCCATGTATAATTTATGTAAACAAAAGCCAAATGTTTGATTCAGACAAAGGATTTACTCAAACATTGTCTGAGTACTTCTAAAGGTCTCTATTAAAAATACTTCTAGTTCCAGTCCAATAGGTCACGGGTTCACTTGTTGACCAGTAGGTCACAGTTTTAAGTCACGCTGGGAGTAAGTGGGAAATTATCATTGATCTTTAAAAAAAAATAGGAAAAAAATAAAAAATAAATTAAAAAAAATACTTCCAGTTCCAGCCAATCTAACATACACGATCTTATTCTAATCATATGTCGTTAACAACGTGTTTCAATTGAACTGCATATAAATAAATTCAACAATGTATACTTTCTGTTTTCAATCATTCCCAACAATTTCAAGATGGGGCTTTGTGGTTTGGTTTGCTGCTCAATTGCTAAAGGAATATGGGATTTGTACCTTGTGGCTGAGTTGATTCCACATATAAAACTGTGTCTGAGTGAACTCAAACTGGGATTTTCTTGTTTGCAAAAACAAAAAAAAAAAAAAAAGAAAAAGCACGTGGATGTCTCCAATCAACATCCAAGAAACAGTACTTTGATTCAATTACAAATATTACACAAATGGGTGTTGACAATGAAAATTCCTTAGTTTAAATGCTCCTTCACCAACCATGTTAAGACCTTATTAATGTAGCAGTGTTAGCTTTTGCCAGAAAGACAATTGACTCTTTTTTATCCTTTTCCAAAATTATTGGAGAGAGAAAATCCAATATGAATTTTGAATTGGTGGATGTAAAAATTTTCTGTCCTTAATATGAGAAAAAGAAAATAAATGGAGAAGTTCATTTATTAACTGTGAAACGGCGGAAACAAAAAAAAAAAAAAATCATCTGTGAAACACCAAAGGTCTTTGATTTATCATAGTCGAGATATTTTATGGTCTGTCCCTAAACATAAAAGGAAAGTTGGGTAGTCAATTGTGCCCAGAAGTTATTTTTGGGAAAATTTCAGTGGCAATTAGTTCATCCATTTTGAAGGCCACTCAAATTTTTTATTTTTTTATTTTTTTTTGTCCCGAGGGAAATAAGAAAAGAGATGTCAGAATTTGCACATATATCTGACAAACCCATTGGAAACATGCAAGTCATTATTTTCTGCTCATTACATCAAATATATGGTCAATATTTAAAAGGTGTATGCATAAATTGACACAACTTGAAATTTGTTTCAATCATGAGTATGCACTATTTAGAATTTAACCAACAAAATAATGTGTGACGATATACGAATCTAACTTAAAAACTTTTAGAATAACACGATACACCAATTAACCTGAAAACATGAAACGCGACTTGATTATCATTCTAATAGGTGATTGGATATATTGATGTTGGATTGTTGGCAAGGAAAATCTAGTGGAATTAGCCTTTTCAGACTGTTTCCAAAATGGAAAGAAAGAGAGAAAAGAACCCACATGGGCAACCTGACAGATTAATGAGTTCCAAACTAAATTTTGCAAAGCTAGCCAAAGCAAAAGAAGATCTTAAAGAGGCTGCCTTGCTTAACAGAAGTGAAGAAAGGGGGGTAAAAAAAAATTAAAGAGAATGTACAAATGGCAAAAGTATGGAACCACTTTCATTGATATATGCAGCTAGATTTTCATAAAACGTGTCTGGTTTACCTCAGTAGAAGAGTTTTTTGTGGGTCTCTTTCTTTAGGCCCCCCAAAAAATTGAGCACAAATTATTCAATGCTAAAGCTAACTTTAGCCCCCAATCCACCCATGTAGCTATTAGCCCACCTCTATATCTCTCTCATTTTGTTGCCTTGCCCCTTAACCAGGGAAATTTGTAGCTCAAAATCATACCTAATTGTCTGTTTTATGATCCATTTCTTTCTGGGTTGTACTTCTCCTTTTCTGTTTGGTCCACTTTTATGGTGCTGTGTTCCTGAAATTGAAGCATTGTGTTCTGTTTTGAGTCTTTTTGCCATTAGGTTTCATTAAAGAAAACAGAATATTCCTCCAAAAAAAAAAAAAAAAAACAGGTAGCAGAGGGGAAGATCATATATGGATTAGTTAGTTAAATTCTATGGTGATCAATCAGGTAGAAATTTGAGTAAAATGGATTTTCACAATTCTGCTGTGTTCAATGGGAAATCAGTTCAAGTACGCCCTGATTTAGCAAAAACTTCTTCACTTTCTAAGAAGTTCATCAGAAAGAGTCCAGGAGATTTTGTTGATTCTTCCTGGCCTAATAATGAGTTTAACAAGCAGCAGGAAGGAGGTGGAAGAAGCAATTCCATCATGACTTCTTCTTCTTCAACAAATCCGGCAAAAAGACAGAGAGCTTCTTCTTCTTACCCGAATTCGCAGATTAGCCGTTGCCAAGTTGAGGGATGCAATATTGATCTTTCATCGGCCAAAGATTATCACCGGCGACATAGAATTTGTGAGTGTCATTCCAAGAGCCCAAAAGTCATTGTTGCTGGAATGGAAAGAAGGTTTTGCCAACAATGTAGCAGGCTAGTGATGAACATTTTCCACTAGTTCTTTTCTTTGTTAACTGTCTTTATTAGTTAGGTTCCTGAGATTCTTTTTGGTTTAATATAACTTTTTATTAACAGGTTTCATAATCTGGCGGAGTTTGATGATAAGAAAAGAAGCTGCAGACGGCGTCTTTCCGATCATAACGCCAGGCGTCGCAGGCCGCAGCCTGAAGCAATGCACTTGAGCTCAGTGGGAATGACTGCTTCAATCTATGGTGGTGCATTCTGTTTTTTTTTTTTTTCGTTTCATTGATCAATCAAAACTGTGAAATTTTTCCAACCCTTTTGCAATTTTTGGCCATTCATTCTGTTTTTGGTTTCTGTTTTCTCCTTTGTGATCTGAACAGAAAGGAGGCCTCCAAGTTTTTTGCTTAACAGGTTGGCTTCTTCACTGTCTACTACTACGTGGGAGAGTTCTTGTAGCTTGAAGATGACACATCATTCAGGTAAAATTTGGATTCATTTTCGTACTTCTCTTCGTTTAAAAAATGATTCAGAAAATGTTGGGTAGTACGTAGGTAGAACAGAGTTTGAACATCATGGTTCCAGTTTAATTCAGTGCCGAATATAAAACAAATTATCTTCCAACACTGAAAATGAATAAAAAGGATTCTTATTTTAGGACGGGCGTGACAATACTGTTATATCTTAATCAGTATTTGTTCTTCATCCCTTCTCCGGTCCAAATGTTATTGTCAATGCAACAGTTATATTCTAAAGTTGTAGGACAAACTAAACCGAATCAGATTTCAACCCTCTAACTTCTAATCAAAATTATTTGTGATCAACTTGACTTCTTTTGAATGTGAATCATTTTATTGATCAGTAATTGAATGTATATCCGTGGTTGTGATGTTTTTCAGGCTTATTGATTAAGTACAGGGATCAATCATCAATCTTGTTAAGTTACTCTTATTTAAGCATCAGTTTTTTCATTTTCCCTCGAACCATTTATGCTACATTTGAGGGAGTTTCTCTGTTGGTCTGAATATATGTGTAAAACTTAACATGTCACATTAGTTCAACAATGTCAATTTCGAACTTTTAACCGAGCTTTTTGATTAAGTTGTGATGGACTAGGCTTTTTTTTTTTTTTTTGTAAAATCTAATATATAGGGGTACAAAGTGTTCATCTTTTGCTGCTGTTAATATTCTTGCAGGTGAAGGATCTGCAGCCCATTCTTACCTGAATGAAGCACCAACTCTGCCGCGTGCTCTCTCTCTTCTGTCAGCTACTACTAGTACTACTACTACTTCTAATCATTGGGGATTGAATCAACCTGAATCCACCTCTCTGCAAGATCCATTTATGCAAGCAACCGCCACCATGATGGCGCAGCCGGTAATGCAGCCGGAATCGCTGAATTGGCCTGTCATTTCAGTAGCACATGTTCCAGCAGAACAAGCACATTCCATATCACCTTTGCAGTGAATCAGTGGCATTGTTGCTTTAGTTTTCTGATAGCTAGCTCTTTCCAATATGTTAAAGCTTCCTCTCTCTCTATTTTTTTTTTTTTTTGGGTTTCCCCCCAGTGGTTCGCTGAATAATCTAAATTAAGCTGGATGTTTTATGAAATTGGTTTGTTGATCAAACTGGATGTTTTTTGCTTCTCTTTGAAATTTTAGTCATCATGAAAAATTGGAAAATTATGCAGAATGATCCATAATTCCTGTATTGGAGACACCTTTTGTGTGTCATACCGTCCAACATCGTTATCAGGTTGGACGTTTAGTGTTGTAAGGTTTTATTCCGTAATATAGCATTATAAGATAGTGGTATAATGTGAGACACACAAGTTTAGAATACACCGTCCAAAATTATTGCAACATTTCTAATAACCTTAAATGAAATATTATTTTTATTCAAATAAAAAAGAAAAAGAATAAAACAAAGAAATACAAAGTTTAGGGAAGAGTTCGTAACATCGCGATTCTAAGATATATGGAAAAACATTAATAACATCATATTCAAACCATGAATGTACACCATATCGATAACATTATATTCAAACCATGAATGTACACCAAAATGAGTGGAATATCTAAACGTTGATAGCCTCTTGAATCAATTGTCACTAACGAAGCTAAGTATCCTTTCGTCCCAAAATTCTTATCGAATTTAGATTTTTACTTTTAATTCATTCTGTACTAAAAATGAAAATGTAAACTGAACAATAATTTCATGACGGAGGGAATAATCAATTGCAAAATTTGATTCCCGAACAATATATATGTGTTAGTTTTACAATCTGCCTCTAATCCCCAATGTTACCCCAGCGCGGACACCCAAAATGTCCTCTATCTTTGATAGCCTTATGCAACAAACTGATTATCCACCTCGATCTCAAATTTTTAATACCAAAAGTTCCAAGCTACTTGGAGATGCTGTAAGAAGCCAGAGCTATTGTACATGAGCCAATATTCATAGTAAAGTCACATTGGCAGTGACCACATCCCGAATTAAACGTCCTGCACTTGCCATCCCCCGTACTCGATCAAAAGCTAATATCTAGACTAAAGTTCAATTCTTACTCTTAAGTATATTACATCTTTCAACAACAACGCCTAAAACTTAAGAGATTTGAAACTGACCTCACTCTCCTCAAACTCCAGGAGATAAAAGAGACCCATCTTCAAATCCGAAATCAAGCTTAAATTTATCATAGCAATTTGGTTTGAATCTTGAAGCCGCATTTCTCAAGAAATATAATAAAACTCCCAAAAAAAAAAAGAAATATAATAAATCCAATGTTGAATTTTGGTTATTTCCTATTGGTGATTTGGACTAGAATTTGGATGTAGGTAAGTAGTTTGTTTTGTTGCTTGTCTAAAGATAATAAATATCAAAAACTAGAAGCTCCGATATATTGTCAAGTAATAATATTGTTTTTCATATATTAAGGCTCAGTTTCAGCAAGTACAGCATGATCACACTCCACAGCTACAGGATTCGAGCTTGGAAGATGATGATGTAGATGATCAGATCATGGCAAGACTTCTGGGGATAACTTAGCTATAAATTGGTGCTACTTTACCTTTGCAAGCTGAAGTACAAGCTGTTGGATTAAATCCTTTAACCTAACACTCCAGATCAAATAACGAGAACCAAATTAATACGGAAACGTATCTGAATCCATTGCGGATGAATAATTTCTTCAGGTTTGGTTTGATCTTCCAGATGATTTCTTTAACCGGGTAAAAAACGTGAATTCTCAAACTGACAAATGGGGAGGCAGTTTTGACGGCATAAAAACTCACCCGGAGACCACAACCAGTTATATAGTAGTAGAGTTTCTTTTCCACCCATCACAGAAAAGAACCCTGGTCTTTTAGGTTTCTACACAATGATGTCCACAACTTTAACTTAATTAATAATTAGTCTAAAACTTTAGTTAATATAATTTAGATCACTTTAATTGGGCTATATTTTATGATAGCATATAATATACAATTATATGTTTAGTGTATAAGTCCAAAATAACCTTACAATCTCCCACTTGGACTATACACCAAACATATTCTTTATAATTGTATATTACACTGTAAACTTAAGAGCGCGCATAATTTTCTATCATAAAGTAACTTGAACAATCTCATCCATTAATTATATTAGCATAGGATCAAAGGGGCAGTCGTTGCACGAATGACAACTAAACCCATCAGTGCTCACACACATTAATATAACTAAATGACATGGATCAAGTGTGGATGTGTAGCATGGAAATTACATGTAATGTGTCTGTAATATGTCTATTTCCAACTGGTCCTACTTAATCTTTAATGAGATCAAATATAAAATCAGAATGTAAGCATACCAAAATAAAACTTTAGAACTTTAAACTGTATGCTTTATGCTGCAGCATTAAAACCAAATATCCATAAACAAAACATAGATTACAAACTCCCACTAATCTGATATATTCTAAGACAAAAGAACACCCATTTGAGCAGTGTGCTCAAGAAAGATTTTGGTTGGTAAACCCTTGGTAAATGGATCTGCAATATTGGAGTTTGTCCCAATGTGCTCTATAGAAATATGACCATTCTGAACTCTTTCTCTAACAACTAGGTACTTAATGTCTATATGCTTAGACTTGGTAGAGCTCCTATTGTTGTTAGAAAATTCAACAGTTGCTTTATTGTCACAAAATAATCTAAGTGGTCTGTCAACACCATCTATAATTTGCAGCCCTGTGACAAAGTTTCGCAACCATATTGCATGATTGGATGCCTCAAAACAAGCTATATATTCAGCTGCCATAGTTGAAGTAGCTATAAGTGTTTGTTTAATACTTTTCCAGGAAACAGCTCCTCCGGCTAACATGTAAATGTAGCCTGATGTGGATCTAAAACTGTTAGGGCATCCATTATAATCTGAGTCGGAGTACCCAATGACCTTTAACTGATCCGACCTCCTATATGTGAGCATATGATCTTTAGTTCCTCGAAGATACCACATAACCCTTTTGGCTGCTGTCCAATGATCCAAACCTGGATTGCTTAAAAATCTGCCTAAAACTCCAGTAATGTACGCAATATCTGGACGCGTACAAATCGTGGCATACATAAGACTTCCTACAGCCGAAGCATAAGGAACCTTTTACATTTCCTTTTTCTCAAAATCATTCTTAGGGCATTGTTCGAGACAAAATTTGTCTCCTTTAGAAACTGGGGTATCACATGGTTTACTATCCTGCATTCCAAATTTCTTAAGAATTTTTTTGATATAGGTCTTTTGTGACAACTGAAGTATGCCTCGGGAGCGATCCCGGAGTATCTGAATACCTAACACAAAAGAAGCGTCACCAAGATCTTTTATTTCAAAATTCTTTGATAGAAATTTCTTCGTTTCATGCAATAAACCTATATCGTTGCAGGCTAGTAGTATGTCATCAACATACAGAACCAGGAAAATGTGCTTACTCCCAATGAACTTGTGATATACACAATCTTCCACCAAATTCACCTCAAAACCAAAAGAGGTTATAACTTGATGAAATTTGCGATACCATTGACGGGATGCCTGTTTAAGCCCATAGATGGATTTCTTTAGTTTGCAAACTATGTGCTCTGAATCTTTAGAAACAAAGTTTTCAGGTTGCACCATATAAATCGTTTCATCAAGGTCTCCATTAAGAAACGATGTCTTAACATCCATCTGATGTAGCTCAAGATCAAAATGTGCCACTAGTGCCATTAAAATCCTAAAAGAGTCTTGCGATGATACTGGAGAGAAAATCTCTGTATAGTCGATGCCTTCCTTCTGAGTAAATCCTTTAGTGACAAGACGAGCCTTATATCTTTCCACATTACCTTTTGAATCCCTTTTGGTCTTTAATATCCATTTGCAACCAATGGGTTTCGCACCTTTAGGCAATGTGACAAGATCCCAAACGTCATTGTCTCTCATGGATTTAATTTCCTCATTCATGGCATCAATCCACTTTTGAGAATTGGTACTTTTAATGTCTTGACTAAAGTTGATTGGATCATCTTCAGTCAATCCACTATTTTCCTCATGTTCAAGGAGAAAGACAACATAGTCATCTGGAATTGCATTTCTCCTTTCTCTAGTGGACCTCCTTAATGGCATTTGTTCTTGAGGCTGTTGAGTTTGATATTCAGGAATATCCTGTTGACCTTGATGAGGGAAAAAAATCATTACCTTGCATCTCTTGAATTGTTTCAGAAACAATCTCAGGGATAGCAACTTTAGGAAGAGAAACTAATTCCTCTTCAAGGACAAAATCTTTAGCTTTATCTTCCCCTCCAAACTCAATATCCTCAAAGAACTGGGCATTTCCCGTCTCAAAGAAAAACTTACTTTTGGGATCATAAAACTTATATCCCCTAGACCTTTCAGCGTACCCACAAAATAGCAACTAATCATTCTTGAGTCCAGTTTCTTTTTATTAGGCCTATAAGGCCTTGCCTCAGCTAGACAACCCCAAATGTGTAAGTGATTAATACTAGGCTTTTTGCCAGTCCATAATTCATAAAGAGTTTTGACTGTTGCTTTAGTTGGAACTCTGTTAAGAATGTATGTTGCAGTCTTTAATGCCTCTTCCCAAAGCGAGTTTGGCAAAGTAGTACGACTAATCATACTCCTCACCATATCCTTTAGTGTCATGTTTCATCTTTCAGCAACACCATTCATAGTAGGACTACTAGGCATGGTGTACTGTGGGACGATTCCACACTCGTCTAGGAATTTGGCAAATGGGCCCGGACATTGTTCACCTGATCCGTCATATCCACCGTAGTATTCACCACCACGATCAGATCTAACAGCCTTAATTCTTTTGCCTAGTTGATTTTCAACTTCGTCCTTAAAACTTTTCAACACGTCTAGAGCCTGAGACTTCTCATGAATGAGAAAAAGGTAGCCATAACGTGAATAATCATATATGAACGTAATGAAATATGTTTGACCATTCCAAGAAGCTGTAGAAAATGCCCCACATATGTCTGTATGAATTAGTTCTAAAACATCTTTAGATCTTTCGGCACCTAATCTCCTTTTATTTGTTTGTTTTCCCTTAATACACTCAACACAGATTTGGGAATCTGAAAAGTCAAGTGCATCGAGAATTCCGTCTGTCACATGTCTTTCAATTCTTTGTTTAGAGATGTGCCCTAAACGTTTATGCCAAAGTGACACAGAATTCTCATTGGTTAATTTTCTTTTAGTACCACGTGAATCAACATGCAAGGTTTCATTATAAGAAGCAACGGTATCCAGTAAATATAGGT